GCAAGTCATTACTTTATTCAGCATTTTTTTTATATAGAAATTGACATATTCTAGAATAAAAACACAAAAACTGTGAATTGTTCAGTTGTGTTTGTAGATCCAAGTTGTATGTAATTTAATAAAATGTTTCTATTTGACTAGGTTATAAAAAAGTGTAACATAAGTACATGAAACAATAATAATGGAACCAATTAGGGCCGCCTTGTATACTAAAAGATTAAATTATAGCTATTTAAGTTTTCTGCAATAGTAAATTAGACTAACAAATGAGAATTTGGCTTATTAAGAGTGAAGACTTAAATGGATTGGAAGCTCATAAGGGAAAAAACAAGAAAAAAGAAGAAAGAAAAAGTTGTGGGTTCAAATCGCCATGATGTGTGGCATTAACAAATCAATTTTACATTAGTAGTTGATGCGTGAGGAGAACAAAAGTTTTGGCATAATAATATGATCACGATAGCAATAGTACCTTATGCTATTAGATGCATATTGCACCTCATACAAAACTCCAAAAAAAAGAATAGATAGAGATAGAGAGGGTAGGGAAATTCAATCTATGGTAAAAACACTTACTTTTATTTGTTGATGGTAAAAACACTTGGAATTAAATTCATCAAGTTTCTTTCAACTCTAAGATTCAAATTGTCAAATTCCTTCCTCCATACACATGGTAGACAAAGATTGGAGATGTTCATCAGGAACACCTTTAGCCATACAACACGTGGGCACTCTTAAATTGCAAGTCTACTTTCTACAAAAAAAAAAAAAAAAAAAAAAAAAAGAATTAGACTATCTACCTGGTTCTGGATAGCAATTTTCAGAATGATGAGGTGTAATCTTGTTCAAAGTATTTGATCCCTCAACCCAAAAAAAGAAAAAGCAGAGAAACTTAAAAAGTAGAATTGACCCTTCAATTTCAATCTTTCATGCATCTGTTTTACCTTTCATATGTTCGAGTTGACATCTAATGCTCCACATAAGAGTTAAACGATGGCAACCTGTGGAACAAATTAAGCTAAACCTCCATTTTCTGAGGTGATTAATTGAGATTCCATTCTCCAAAAATGACATGTGGCGTCAGAAGCTGCCCAGTATTGACAAAGATTGATAAGTCTAACCGTTCTTCACAAATGTAAACCAAATCCATTGGTGAACTATACATGTATATATATGACATTTCAAGGGTGAAATTTTTGTGGCAGAATACGTGAATTCTGGTATCTCATGCATGAGGTCATTATACATTGAGTGGACGAAAAGTATTGCTTCTTGATTTCATAAGATGGAAGACAACCTTCTTGAAATAGGGTTTTTTTTTTCATTTTCGTTATTTTATTAAAAGGATAGATAATGATGATATATTGATACCCTCTTTGACCACAAATATATATATATTGCTGAGATCAAAATTCTTATCCACCCAAAACTGTCTGTCTTTTTCAACAAGTAATTATCTCGAGGACTTTCCTTGCAGGAATTTCTCCAGTTCAACACGGGTACCAACTACCAAACTGCGTCCATAGAAGACAACTTGAGAAGGGAAAAATGGAAACAAGAACAAATCAAATTCAGCTCGCAGTCAAAGACGTGGTTCCTTTGTGGGAGCAGTCTAATGTCAATTTTGGCTCATAATCTGTGGCACATCTGTACATGTCGCAGTCAAACCACAGATGACCAAGTCCCCCTGTGTGTAGCCAAGAAATATGATCATACTAGTACTATCCCTATAATTTAATTAAGCCAAGCAAAATAGAGCTTATTCAACGTTGTAAGACTTTTTTTTATTTTATTTTTGGGGGACAAATTCAAGCTTCTATATCATCATCAGAGTGTTCTTGTGATACCTGTTCCTCTATCTTCAAAAGCTAAAATTGAACTCGTATACCAATCCCTTCATATGGAGGATAATAATTTTTGTTTCATGCAGAAAAAAGGAGACAAAGGAAGTCCAATTTCATCTTTGAGATCTTTGACTACTGATCGCTCTCCACCAAGCTTATTTAATACCATATTCTTCAAGTTGATTAGTTAGTTTTTAGGCAGAGTTCGTTTACTTTTGCATCTCTTCTTTAATTAGATAATGTGCAAAGTGGGCTTTCATTGGTCTGGTTGGTGACCTTCTCAAAACCAATATGAACACCCTCTAACGTCACCACAAGTCAAAAATATTCTTCAATTTGATAACCCTCCTCTTCCAAATCTATCAAAGCAAAGGACACAAGGCTCAAACTTCAAAAAAAACTAGGGATAATTTCATAAACCTCCCCTGAGGTTTTATGAAATATCACCTAGCTCCCTTGAGATTTTCAAAATCTCACTTAGCACCCCTTAAATTGACATTTTGGTAACCAAAAGTAATATTAAAAAATTCATGTTTGATGAGAGAGATTATCTTAGTGCCTTTAATACCCTTAGGCTATAAAAAAAATGAACATTTTACAAACCAAGGAAAAAAAGTACTAAATTGGAACCATCTTAAAAGTGAGGAGATGAAAATTGGTAAGATTTTATGTTACAGCCAATAGTCATTTCTACAGTAGGAAGAGATAGTAAAAGCAAATACTATTTTTTAAACCATTTCTACAAATAGAACCCTTCATAGCGTTGAAGGTAATTAGCATGTAAAATCATATATTTGAGTCAAAAAAACTTAGTAATAGATGAGATTTAACTTCAATATCATACAAAAAATTTACTCAAAATAGAAAGACTTTTTTTATGGGTGTGAAATATGAAAATTTTATTATAGAAAAAGTCAGAATTTGAAAAAATATTTGGAGTTTCAATTAGTTTATTTCTCTTGCGCTCTGCATGAATAGGAATAAATAAATAAATAAAGTTGTGAAACACCAAAAAAAGGAAAAAATAAAAGGAACCTACAGCTATTCTTCTCCAAATGCATTGAATATTTCATTGATTAAATCCTATATTTCATTGACATTTGCAATTCAATTATACATATATATATGTATGTATGTATGTATGTTTGTTTGTTTGTATAGACATTGTTAAAGAAAAGTAGGAAATTTAGAGAAAGAAAAACAAGTTCAGAAAATTTAAATATGAGGGTATTATTGACAATTCATCACCTTTGATATTAGTATATGACCCTACTATCACTTCAAGGGTGCTAAGTGAGATTTTGAAAAGTTTAGGGGAGCTAGGTGATATTTCATGAAACCTCAAGGGAGGTTTCTGAAATTATCCCAAAAAACTAAACAGAAATAGCTACTAACTTACATCCTATGGGATCAAACAATATATTTTCTTCATTTTCATTGCTCAATTGATGTCTTTAATTCTGCACCAATCCTAGTATCATATATCAAGAGTCTTGTATGGAAACATCATCTTATAAAAATAGGAAACATGTGTTCTTTTTTTTTTCAAGTAAACTTTCAATTTTGAACTTTACTGATCAGGCAATATATACATATATATATAGGAAGCATATGTTCCCTTATTCTCTATGCATCGATTTGATTGTTTCTTATATCGCTGGTAAGTGGTCATATTGTTTAATGAATCAGTTATGGTTGAACAACCAGTTTAGGTTTGCATGGCCCCATGCATGGAAGAAGAACCTGAGTTGGTATTGGGAAAAGTTCTTGTGATGATCGATCCAACCTTTTCTTTCCCCTGGCATCTGTTGTTGGAAACTCCTTTCGTCTTTTTCTTGAATCGAATTTCAAAAAAAAAAAAAAAAAAAAGCGGGCTGTTTTCCTCGTAGACAAAACACTAGGAAAGCTGAGAACAAAACAATGCCCACCCATACCTTGTATAATTATAATTATTATAATTACATGATGGATGAAAGAGCAGGCTGACAACGTACGTGTCCGATTTATTCGAATGAACATCTCCACGTAGCAGGCGCCGTATCAAGGCTGCATGGCGCGGCAAAGCCATGCATACGACAATTTATTAAAGTACTCGAGTTGTTGCATTTGATGACCCAACATTTGGCAAAATCTTACTTAGTTTGGATTCAATCAATCAATCGTCATTTAATGTTTGTTGCATTGGTCAAAACCGAATTGTGAAACATTTGATCCTGATGCCATGGCTGAGGAAACCCCCTCTATAACTAGTTATTAACTATATAGGGTTGCTAATTAATGAAGATGGAGGACCAAAAACTTAAATATAAGCTCGCTAGCTCTGTATTTTTTTGGATCAATCCCACCTGCCCTCCTTCATTAGCTAATCATTTTTAAGGTATGCATGCAAGAATAGTTCAAGTGGGATGTGATGGACATGTTCAAAGTTTGAATAGACCAGAGAACAAAATCAACAATTAAGAGAACTAATCAAAAGTGGAGGAGTCTTGGATTTTTGTACATCGAGTGAATTGGGTGTTGGATATTCTGTCAAGAATTGGGAGGCAGTGCCAAATGTGCTCATTAGACACCTAATTAGAAGCATGTCTTATTTGCTCCTCTTAATTGCAAGGGGTGTGTGGTTAAGCAAAGCCAAATGGATCGTATCACTGCACAATCAACCTTAATTTGATTTCTTAACGAACAAAACACTTGTGTGTTTTAGTTTGACTTGTTTTCAAATCGAATCAATTAAGTAGAAAGGAAAGGGCTTGTTTTTCTTTGACACACAATTATAATAGTCTACACTTACGTGCGTGCATGGACCCAAGTGCTTGATGCAATAAATTAAATTCAGCCAATCTTTTGGTAGATTTTTCACCAAGTTTGAAATTAAAATTTCCTATTATTTCTTATTATAATAATTTAAAAAAAAGGCATGCCACTTTTTCTACCAAATTTGGGTTCCATTCCGGCTCTTTTATTCGGTTTAGTTTATTCGGTTGATTAACAAATGTCGAACAAAGACATCAAAATTCAAAAAAAACAAATGTCGAACAAGTTTTAGTACGCCAATGTGTTCCAGCCCTTACTTTCAGTCTCATCAAAAGCCCAAAACAGAGGCCCAAAATACAGAGACCCACATCACTTTATCAGACAAAAATACCCCTATACATTTTACCCAGTCACTGGAAGTCCCTGCCCACCTGATCTAATCCGTCTCGACTCTCGATCTAAACTTCCCCACTCCACCAGACCAGACCGCCGGCGAAATCAGCCATCGGCAGGCCGCCGAGCACCGTTTTCAAAACCTACAATCAAGGTACATCTCCTCCTTTGTATTTTCACTTCCTTCCTTCTGAGTTTTCTAGTTTTTTTTTTCCTGAATTTTACTTTTGTAATTAAGGTCCTTTGTTGGTTTGAGCTCTCTCTCTCTCTCTCTAAAACCTTTGATGGTGTGCAATCTGTTAATCCAAACTCTGAATCTTCGATTCTGTGCTAATAGCTTATATATATTAGCCTAAGATTTCCAAATTTCGGATTTGGAGAAAATTTCCTCTTTTTTGTTTGTTTGGTCCTAAATTATGTCTTATCGTTTTATTGATTTTGTCTTTGCATGGTGCTGATGATCCATAAAGTGTAATTGATCCTCCTTGATCACTTAGTGGTTCGGTTTGTAGTGATATGTGCATTAGATATTTTACTTCAATTTTAAAGATTTAATGACGAATTAGTTCTTAATTAGTTGCAAATTATGCTATTGTATGAGTTGAAATGCTATTTGGTTAATTGCCTGAATGGGAAAACAGTGGAGCAAGAACTTAGATTGCACATGAATTATGGGCTGAATTAGGTTAGTGTAACATGGTTCTTTAGTCTCTAAATGTTACAGGGATTTACGAAACGCAGCCAGAATGTTGCTCTCACCAATGCCTACTGTGCATCATTCTTGTGTTTTTGTTGTTTTTGCTATTGAGTTTCTTGAAGTTTTCGGCTTTGATATGATATGCTAAATGACTGAAGATAGAGGCATATGCTGCAGCAGGTTTGGAGTTGTTTTAATTACGGAGGAGTTAGGTTCCACCTTCGACTAGTTGAAGCCAGAAAGGAAGAAGGTTCAAGGGTTGGGTGTATTTGGAAATGGCATTGCTGAATGTGTTGAAGGGCGAGCCACTGGTGACGAAGCTGGCAGCAGTGGCTAAGTATGCTGTTCTTCCAGGTGCTATGATTGCTGCTCTGATCTATTCACCTCCAGATTATTTGTGTAAGAAGCCTCAACCTGCTTCAGCTTCCAAGTAGACTTGGTGTGCTTCAGCTTCTCACCATGTAATTCCCATCGGGAACTTTGATTGCTTAAATTAAATAAAAGCCTTTCCAGAGTTTACTGAAATGGTGCAGCAGTTTAGTAAGTGCTATGTAATGAGTAATTTTCACAGCTATGTTAGGCTCACCTTAAATTTCAGGATTTTTGGAATTGAATGTTTCTTTTCATTTGAAGATTGTTAAGCAGCTTCCAAAAGAAAAATGAATTGATGTTTCAGTTAATGAGTTTATAGCTGGCTTTGAGCTATTCAGATGGGGTGAATTGCTCACCAACATTTTTAGTTGTGGATGCCAATGTTGGGATTGGGGTTGTTGCTGGAACAGACAATTGTCTAGTTGATGAAGTAGCGGACTCTGTTGTGTCTAATTGCAATTTACTGCCACAGACTGATCTTTGAAACCTTTCTTGAATTCACTGTCATCTGGACTTTGGATTCTAGTCCCTTGAAATCTGATTGCTGCTGTTTGGGCACCGTTTGCATCTTCTGGATTTTGATAAACTAGTTACCACCATACTGCTGGATATAGCAGGGTTACAAAAATAACTGTTGCAACATTCCTGAGTGTGCTAGTTGTCTATGAATGATGAGGTTCTCTTTACCTTTGTTGCTTGCTTGATGTTCAGGCTTTGTTTCTACGTTGTAAATGCGATGACATATGACTGGTAACATTGAGTGAGACGCAGCTTGTTTTCCATTTTAAAGGGCTGATTTGCCATTGCAAGTCCTTGTGCTTTGGAATTTCCAAACAGGTACTTGATCTTGTATAAATGTAAGAGGAACTGAACTCTTGCTATTAGAGCATAATGTATAAGTCACAATGATGCCAATAATATGTTTAGCTTGCATTCTTGCCGGTTTTTTCCCTATACATCCAAGGTGTGATTGGATACTGGGTTCCAATTCCATTGTTGTTGCCCCACTCTTTGTTAATGGTACTGCCTTAGCTTGCAAAGGACATCCTCCCTTTGCCGCTGCTTGCCCTTCTTTTAATTCTCCAACAAATGACGACATCATGCTATCTAACAAAAACCTTTGAATTCTCCAACAAAAACTTTCCACCATCTAAACCAAACAAATGACGACATCATGCTATGAGTTACGGCAAAGACTGAACCATCTTTTCTTTTTCTTTGTTTTTTTTGTGATTATTTTCAAGTGACGAAAGGCGGAACCATCAGCCAACTCAATGTGCCTTGAAGTTCCATTTTGTGCTACGTTGTATCCAAAACTTAGTGCCTTGCGCAGTTGGGCTGTTGGTATATCTTGCTACTTAATTGTAGCTTCCTTTGACGGGAAATCTTGTCGGCTCTTCTTTTCTGTAGATTAGACTAGAGTGTAGGTTATACAAGTATTATATCGTTGGGACAAAAAAAAATCCAAAACTTAGTGGCATACTCTTAGAAAACGCTTTGAGGCGTGCGACTCTAAGCATAAAGTTTATAAATCATGCTTGAGAATTCACGAGTTTAGCTACTGAGAAATTCAAATGCAACAATAGTTAGAAACTCGTGAATTTTTATTCCTTGTCGTAGTTTGCTTTTGCCTAGATTTTTTGATGCTTCTCCCATCCATCTTTTGAGTTAAAAAGAAAAGAGTCCTCTGATTTAATAAAATCTGGTAGAATGAAACTAGAGTAAACCATTAAGCAACCATCATGTCTATTGACATAAAAAGGTCAAGCATAGATTTCTAGTGTAAAATGCAACTTTTGGTCAATCAATGAATGTGGCAAGTCATTAGAAAATAATGAGGGGCGTTATGGTCCTTCAAGAGGAAAATGTGGAGGGGACTGCAATTAACAAAATTAAATAAATGTCATTGGCAGTCTAAAATTAAATTAAATTTAATCTTACTTTTATATAGTTTCCAAATAAAGAAGTTCTTACTTTTATTGTTTGGAATCCAAGTTTTTTGCCAAGTTTGTTTGCTACAAGTTTTTAAAAAACTTTAGCTACAGTAACCTCAAAAAAATTCTTAAAGTTTTTAAACTATACACTTCAAAATATTCAAAAATCTCTACACATTTCAAAAAATTTTTAAAAAACTTCTACAGTAAGTTACAGTAAAGTTTTAGACAAACTCCCAAAAAACTAACCTTCCAAACAGGGCTGAAATTCCAAATAAAGAGCAAGAACTTCAATGTTTAATTTTTTTGGTCGAAAATAGAGGGCAAAGGGTATTACGTAGCTATTAAAATGGGATTATTTACTAAATTTTATTTGCTTGTACTATTAACATGTTTTTTAATCATCTTTTTATCTCACGTACATCACATTAAAAAAGTGCTATAGTATTTTTTTTTTCAAAAAATTATCCAAATAATTTACTACCCAAACACACTCTATAACACAATACAAGAACTATAGGAACACTGTGAGGACCCGCAAATTTCTTATATTTTTTCTCAAAAAAATGCCTTTTATTTGAAAATTATTATTTATTAAAGCCCCACTACCCAATTATTTCATACTAAGTGTAAATAATCCTAGAAAGTAGGGTTTCACGCTTCGGTTTCAAGTTTGGAGCAAAATTAGGGTTTTCGCGATTTTTCGCCGGATGAATTTTCGGTACAGAGTAAGGATTAATTTTGGAGATTAAAAGTGACTTTTAAGTGAAAAATAATATGTGACTAGTAGCAATGATATAAGGTTAGTGAATGGGAAGTAAAAACCCTAGTACGTGAGTTTTTGAGAAAAACGGCGCGAACCGGCGGGTCCCGCGCACTACCGATTGAATGCATCACTTGACCACCATTTTTCTTACCAAACAAGCTTATTGACTTTTGAGCCAAATATCTTCTTACTTGGCAGCTGGTTTGACCAAATCCTAAAGCTATAAATGCAAGGAAAAGAAAGAGAAAAATGAAAGGTGGTGGTGGCGACACTTGGCTTCTTGACCAAAGACAAGGACTTTCTATTTAACCCCAATTTTTGCATCTTCTATCCCTTATTGCTGCTGCTTGGCCGAGAGAGAGAAGGGAAGAAACACCAAGGAAAATCTCTCCATTTCTTTTTGAATCAAGCTACTAAATGAGAAAACAAAAGAAAGAAACCGATTAAACTCACCTTTGAGTGATTAGTTAGTGATTGTTGGTGAGATTTTGGAAAGGGAAAGCTAAGGCTACACTTGGTGAACTCTAATCAAGGTAAGAAAGATGATCTCTCTAATTTTTACTTTCAATCTTGTTTAAATTAAGCTTAGTAACTCAATTTGTGGTGGAATCATGGATGTTATCATGTTTTGGAGGTTTTCCCCTTTTTGATATGATGAACTAGGGTTTGAGACTTTCTGCTAATTTGATGTATGATGCATATATGTTGTAATTAAGGTTGTATAAGGGGTTTTGGTAGTGATTGAAGTAAGAAATTGAGGAAGGTTGCATTAAAAATTGAAAATTCCAGATTTCTGGAAAATTCTGCTTCCATTCTGTCCGGTTTTGTAACCTCATGTTAGAGGCCGAATTGGCCTTAGGTCAAAGAATAAAAGTTGTATAGAATGGTATTTTATAGGTGCATACAAAATTTCAACTCAATCGGAGCAACGTAGGTCGTGAAAAGTCCAAAATACCCTTACTGTTTTAAGTTTTTCCCCAGCAGTCCGTTTGGTCAGTTTGTCCAGTTTATCATATTTTTTCACTAGGATCCATACTGATTTAGCTTTTTGGAAAAACATGAAAGTTGTAGTATTCTGACTTAGCTTTTAAACGCCTCTAAGAACACCTGAATCAGACTTTTGTAACCTGAGATATGACCATTACAGTACAATGCGGTTAGATAGCCGACAAGTTGGATTTTGGTTCTGTAATTTGAGGATTTGACTAAGTTGCATTAGAAACTGGACTAAATGACCTTCATGAACATTGTAGCCCTGTGTCTTAGCATCGAAACGGAATAGGTTGCGCCTCAATCCGATAAGCGTAGCCTCGGATGTGTTATTTCCGCATCCACACGTCAAATCTGTCTTTTACTAGATTGTATTTCTGCACTTGTTATTATTGTGATTCTTATTCTTATGATGTTGTGAGCCTATGGAACGGCTTTTGACTTGAATTATGATATGTGTGACTTTGGGTTGTGGCTGAGGAAAAATAATGAAGCCTAAATGGCTGAAAAATTAGGTAAACACAAAGGGCATACTGCCCGAATTTACGCTCGAGGACTAGAAAACTATATTTGCAACTTGAGTAAAGGTTAAGTGATTATCACTTGAACTAGCGAGAACCTTTGCTACTTTGTTTTTCGAGGGTTATACATTAGGACTTGGCCGAACTTGTACCCTTGAGGAAAAGACATAATGACCAATGTAAACTTGAATTTCCTTGTACTTTCAACTCAAGTGTTATTTCCAAGCATCTATACTATAAAACTTTACGATTTGAAAAGCGAGCAAGTGTTTCACGAGTGTTTTTCAAATGAATTTCAATTGGTCGATTCTTAATGAACGGGACGTTTAAGTTTCGAATCCTACTCGTGTTTCAAAGTTCTCAAACTGAATTTTTATCGTAGATCTGGACTCCAAGCCTGGAGTATAATTGAACGTGAATACTTGAAACACTATATTTTGGTGAGTGCTTCCAAATATCCGATTGTACTTGATACATGTATTCCTTACTTGACTTGTATGATTACATGAAAATGAATGATAGGGCAAGGATGTACTTTACCGTACTTGCCCTAATATGACTTGTTCTTGTTATTAATTACACTTGACTTGCTCTACATGTACTTGAGATATGTGTTGCCTGGAATTTCAGAAACCCTGTGGCTAGTTAATCGAGTCGAGCCGGTAAGGGTCTGGTCGATTAGATAACAAACCCTGGGTCACTTGTAATGTCAAGTGGAGTGTTATCTTCTCGACTAAACGGTATACTCGAGTATTACCACTCATGTTTCGTGTGGCGTGCGGGCCCGGGAAAGGGCGTTGATCGGTGGACGGAGATTGGCGTATAGTGGAGTTTTATTTTGGACTTGTTATAACTTGAAAGTTGGCGGAGTGTCAACTACCACTTGACCAAGCTGGAATGGAGTCGTGATATGGGTTACTGTATCCTTACATGTGAAAGTGAACCTGATATTACTTGGCTATCTGAAGTACTATTTTCCTGATTGGACTTGTTTGCTCGTTATTTCACTATTACTTTGTTATCACTTGATTTGTTGACCAATTTGATATTTGGGAACTTCACTGAGCTTTGGCTCATCCCGTTAGTTTTGTTTTCCTTACAGGGGTACGAGCGAAGCGTGAGACTTGAAATGACTAGTGTAGCCTTTTGTTTTTGAACTTGGACTTTTGGGACTGTACTCGCGCTATTCTTCGAATGAAACATTTTGTACTTGGATTGTATACGTTTTGCACTAGTTTGAGTATCGAGACTTTGTACCCTGATTCCTATCATTGTATGTTATAAGCTTGAATTAGGAATGTTATTTATGATTCATGGTGGATGTGTATGTACGTGATTCGCGTGAGCTAGTGAGTGAGTCCTGGCGAGAGTTGGGCAGGCGGTCCGCCAAACCCTTTGGTACGCCTTAGGGGGAGGTGGGGTCGTCACAAACACATCTTTTCCTTCATGGATACAGTCGTAGATAGTGGCCTTGTTCTCGATTGCTTTAGATTTTATAAAATCTGATTATAGAAATTTATTTTAAAGAATAATCACAATCGACAAAAATTATTTTTTTGGGTGGTTATAAATTTTAACTTTTTTATCATTAAAAAATCTATAATCAAAATACAAAAACAATCGAGAACGTCATAAAAATGGATTATTCAAAATTAAAATTTATAATCAATTAAAATAATCAATCGATAACAAGCTGATTATTGGTGAAAAGACAAAAAAAAAAAAAAAAACTAACCAATTAAACACGAAAGAAGTACTTAAAAACATAAAGAAATAAAAATCAACTAAATAAATGTTTATCAAGATCTTTTTTAAACGATTAAGCTAGTGAAAAGACAAAAGGCTCCGTTCATTTTATTTCTATTTTCTTTCAAAACACAACTATTAATGATTTAGGTATAGTGTAATAACTAATTATTGATGTTACAAAGTAAGAAGATATAAATTTTTCAAAAGGTAACAATTTATGGTAAAAAAAAAATGAATAGAATGCAGCATAGTTAACACTAAACACTAGCAACCAGGTATTTTAGTGCGTGTAGGAGATTTATAACCTTTTTGTATTAAAGTCTATCATCTGTTTTTTAAAAAATTATCTCAAATAATTTACTATTACTATGACACACTCCTTGTTTTACTCATAAAATTCAAAACATAAAAATGTTGAAAAAAAAAAAGATTTTTGCTTTTTGGGTCAGACATTGACTTTTCACCGATTCCGAAGGGATAAGGTTAAAAACTCTGTCGTCTTCCTCTGCCGCATCCGACCCCCATCTCTGCCTTTGCTTCCTACCTATAGCTACTTCTCAACCACAGCCCTGAAAATTTAAATAAAAACCTCTTAATCAAGTCGAATATTCCAAATAATTGTCCTTTTATTATTCTCCTCGCTTAAGCAGTGCTAGTTTTATAATACCCAGAATTAATTTTTCCCACCAGAGCTGAAAATCCATTTCTTTCAACTACCAAAGATTTTCCCTCTTCGCTCTGCATCGAAAAAGGTATTTTTTTTCCTTGCTTTCAAATGCTTCTTAGCTGATTATTGTCCAGAATAATGAGTGGGTTTTTTTATTTTGCGGTCTTTTTGGTTAAAAATGTCAAATTGATGTGCCAAGTGGCAAATATATGTGATACACTTGGGATCTGGTTTCTAGATGAGGTTCTATTTTCTGGGTTGGACTTCATTTGCGGAGATTTTTGCTGTTTCCGGAGAATTTTGGATTGCTTTGGTAGAAAATTGGTGGCTTTATATTTCTATTGTTTTTATGGCTGTATGTCAGAACTATTTTTCTCAGATGATTTAATGAATGCGATGCTTTTTTTTCTGGATTTATTTGGTTGGATAAAATGGGAAAAAAAATATAATTGTAACCATTTAAGTGTTTTGGTATACTGTGGAAATAAGAGGGACACATTATTTTTGTTATGTAAGGAAAAAGGAAACAATTATTTTTTAGCTGAAATAATTACTATACTTAATAATTGTTTGGTAAGAAGATCTAGGAAAAGATTTCATGGAAGTGTGGGACAGTTTGATATGTTAATTATTGGATAGAGTTTAGTAGAAAGCATTAATCTGGTTACATGCATTGAAGCCATATATTCAGATCTCGGCATAGGATTAGAAAGTGAAGTTGCTTGTAGTATTCTATTGTGAATTTGAGGTTTTGGTTATTCCAGTGATTTCAAAACAATGAAATATAAGAGCTGCTTGCTTCATTGTTTTATTTTAGTTATGAGCGTTTGGAAAGTTTTGAAAACCTGTTGAAAAGATTTGTAAAATGGGTTTTGGATGAGTAGTTCTTACTTTAGTAAGTTAATTTTTGGTTTTTGGAGAGTGATTTATAGTCAAACTTGAAGTAGCTAAATGCATGTCTACCATTTTTCTGATTGGGATTGGATGCTCTTGAGCAAAAAAATTTGTGCACATCTAAACCATGCTGGCAGCTTGAGGAAAGCTTGTTTTCTATCTGAGAAAAGTAGCAAGTGTAGCCTATGTGCCTGCCATGACATATAGTGAAGCTTTTGGGAATATTAAAGTGGAAGTTTTTATCTAGTTGGGAAGGTCAGAGGAAGTGGTTAATGCATATCCTCCCCTCCTTAGCACACTAACTTCCTGGACAAAGGATATTTCAAGTGTGCTTACTGTGAAGCCATCCATGTGAAAGCTGATACGAGAAAAAGAAGTCTCTGGTGGAATAAGTTTTTACTTGTTATATTGCTGACCTCAATGGAAATTAGTGTTGAGCAGTTTATTCTCTTGGTGAAGTGGCTTGCAGGAGGTAGTGTGCTAGACGAGGGAAAGGGTGTGTTTCTCTTTCATAGAATACCTTCTTTCTTCCCATGGTTTCGTGGCACTGTCTGAAGAGATCAATTGCATCAAAGTATACTGCTTTGCCAAGAACACGTGCTTGCTGTAGGGTACATACTGAAGTGTTGGTTAATTCTTGTGGCTTTTGCAAGCATTTTGACTTCCAATTGTTCTGATTCAGTGCAGAGCTTGTAGAAAGAGTATAATTTGAACCAGGTTCCAGTTTTACGTTAAGCATGAAGTACTTGGAATATACTCCTCTTGACCGGTATGTGTAGAAGTGTTTTCTTCATAGGAAACAACACTTTGTACTTGCAAATTTTGAATTGCTTAGTTATGATTAGGGCTGCAAACGAATCGAGCCGCTCGAGTCAAGCTCGATTAATATCGAGCACGAGTCGAGCTCGAGCCGGCTCGAGTCAAACTCGAGCTCGAACTCGAGTTCAGAATATTAAGCTCGTTAGCTCGCGAGCCTTGAGTATATATATATATATATATATATTTATTTTTATTTAATAATAAAAATACGTATATTATATATATATTTTTTATTTTTTATTTTTTATTTTCATAGTAAAATTGCGTATATATCCTTAATATTTTATTATTTATTAAAAAAAATTATTTTATTTATTTTTTTAAAAATAAAATAATTATTTTTTATTTTTTTCGAGCTCGAGCTCGAGCTTGGCTCGACTTGATTCAAGTCGAGCTCGAGCTTGAAAATTGCCGGCTCATCGAGCTCGAGCTTGGTAAAATTCAGTCGAGGCTCGGCTCGATTAGCTCAAAACTCGGCTCGGCTCGGCTCGTTTGCAGCCCTAGTTATGATGATTTTGTTGGTCTATGTAATTTTCTATCTTTAATGACTGCCGTGGACTGATTAACTATATTCTTTCAGTTTGAATGACTTCCTGAGTCAGGTGAATCTTGGAGAGCGCACAATCAAAGGGTGCCTTGAAGCTTACTCTTGTGAGTATAATTTGCATTTTGATGTTCGCAATGTTGCTGCCTAGAAATATTTTGGGGTAACTGAGTTTTTTGCCTATTTTCTGTCTAGGTAAACATACAGGAACAGATAAGAAGCTGTCGCTCAGCTTAGAGAATGAGGTGATTCCATTTGCTTTGAGCTTATTCTGTATACAGATAATTTACAATTTATGATTATCAGGGTACGAACATTGAATGCACACAAATTTCTCTCAAATTCTTCCTGCACATGGTCTCTGGATTGTGTGATATCTTGAAGAAAGGCCGAACTGTTTATTTTAGTTGTTATTGTGGTGTCTTGAAAGTTGAAACAGTTATCCTCCTCTTCCCTTTTTGTTTTTGGGATTTTGAAAATGATGACTAGCAGTATTCTTGATGACACAGAGAGATGATAAAAGGAAGTGTTAAAAAAAAAGAGAGAGAGAGAGACAGAGAGATGTGTCCCTTTTTTTTGTTTTTTAAATCATGTCTTGCCGGTCTTTTAAACATGAAAATCTTTCCTATTATCTTTCTTCTTTTTCATGAAAGGAGTGCCTAAATTGAGGAATCTAAAGTCGATTATTTAAATAATTATGCTCACGATAGCTTGCTTTGAGCCTATGTCTGTTGTGTTCTTGCAGCCATGTCTTTATATTTTGATGCTCAGTGGCTGTGTTATTGAGTTGTTTACTAATGGATTGCCAATCTTCCTGCTACTATAGCCACTCAATTTGTTGTATCCTATCTGAGAATTCGTTAGATCCTTTTAATCGATAGTTATGAATTAAACCAGATTCTTGATTACCTTGGGAAATCATCTGACACCGACTCTTCCTCACCAGTCGAATATCTGTATACATCCAGGTACCCAGTTACGTGTATCTTATCCAATTATGCTTCTATGGTATATATTTTCTTACTGATCTCAAAACCTTTTTCACCAGCCGAAAGACGCTGATTTATTTGCTTCTTACACTCTATCACATGTATCCAGATTATGACTTCAGGTAACTCTGTATCTTATGTTTGTCATTTTGTTTCCTTTACATGAAGCTGAAAAGGAGGGTTATGGGCAGTGCCATTGTCAGCTTTCTTGGCGACATGGCATCCCACTATATAATCCTCTCTTAACAGCCTTGGGAGTGTTGTCAGAAGGTTTGACGGACAGTTCAGATAACTGTTGCTCTTAGCCGAGTTGAGAGTTCAAGTCTCTCCATTTCCCAAAATAAACCACTTAGTCTGTCATCCTTTGTGTAGCTACTGACTTCTGCTAATTGACATTGCTCATTGATTTTTGGTGTAACTGTGCTACAATTTCCCAACACATTGGTTTACCAGTGCAGTGCAAGCTCACCAATTTTTCACTGAAGAGAGCTGGGATGGCTTTAAGCAAATTTTGGACACCTACATGTTTGAAGCATCAAAGGTATACAGTCATATCAGTTTAAGTATGGCTCAAGAATCAATTTTTAATAGCTTTATACCAAATGGTGCTAGTTGATGCCTAATGTTTGTTGTTAAGAGGTAGAACATCTTGGTTATATTTTATAGCAGAAGGTCTGAAGTTTGAACCATATTCAGTTAATTCAAATTCAGCAACTCTTATTTGCAAAATCTTCGAAGTTTGGTTAATCTTGAGTTTTCAGGGATTTTTTCTTGTGTTGGTATTATGAAAGTGTCTAATGCTGAATGACTACAGTATAAGGTGCTTGAGAATCACGGCTTTTTCATTAGAATGTGATGCGGGTCCTAGTGGCGCATAATTATCATGATAGTCCGAGGAAGTCTTGCCGGCTTTTCAATTTGTTGATTAATTAATTTATTGAAGTCTTTAATTGGGGTTTCATCTACCTCTCTTTGTAGGAATGGCTTGACACAAATGAGTGCCCCCTCTTGGAGACCTTATACAAGACTTTGGATGAGGTGCGAATTTTATCAAAACTATGAAAGGAATGAAAAAAGAGAAGACAGAGGAAAAGGATTAAAAAGATATTATTGTCATACTACTGTGGTGCAGGTTGTGAAGCTAGCAGAATGCGAAATTTATAGTTACAATCCTGAGGCTGACGCAGATCCCTTCCTCGAGAGAGGAGCCATGTAATCTTTGATGTTGAGATTGGTGTTAATTTTTTTTTTCCTGTCCTTGCTTCAGGACATGATGACAGGATATATTTCTTTTTTGTTGACAGATGGTCATACCATTTCTTCTTCTACAACAGGAAGCTGAAGCGAGTAGTGAGCTTCCGTTTCAGCTGTTTAAGGTAATTTAATTCTTTTGGCACACATCAGTTTTATTGGATTTACTGTCAATGGGCCATGGTTAATCTTGGTTTGCTTTGCTGTCATAGTAATTTTGCCAGTGAAGGTTTTCGAGTAGATGAGCTAATTTTCGAGGAAGATGGAGAAATATTCGATGGCATGGACATCTGAGTGTGGAGTATGAAATTTTCATATGTTGATATCTGTAGACATGTTGTATCAACCCCTTGTGCAAATCTAGCTGTAGGGTCTGAAGTCTTTCAATGTAAATGAGAGCAGCCATTCTGTAGTTAGGATTGTTACAAGGTTAGTGTGGTTCCCAGCCTTGGTTGTACTCCACCGTTTTAATTATGCGGACAGTTGCAGTTTGGTTCTGGTATGTGTTTTCAATTTTCTGGTGTCAGGATTCTAAACATCAGAAATTTCCCAAATCCATGAAACTGTTGCGTCTTGTGGAGAGTGTGATTTCTGCTGTGAAGAGCTTCAACTAGATCACTAGATTTTCTATCCACCTGGTATGTAAGAAGAAAGTGGAGTTATTGTAGCAATTCCAATGGTTGCCAAGTGGCTCCCTTTCATTTTGACACATGGCGCAGTCTTTTTTTTCTTTCTTTCTTTTGCTTCTTTTTTTTCACCTTATTTTCTTTCTCCTTTTTGGCTAAAGACAACTAAATGAACTCCCATCTACAGTGCAAATTCTTTATTTAGTTTTCATTCAATAGTGCTCTTCTTTTCTTTCCTTCATTCTAATTGTTTACTCCGTTTTTTTTTTTTTGTTCTATTGGATTAGTTGATGCATTTTGCTTCAATTTTATCCATAATTAACTAAATGAATGGTTTCGTTGTAGGAGATCAAGAATGGGTTTGATATTTCCCTTTTTTCTTAGTTTAATAATCATGATTCATGATCTTCTACTTTTACTGTCTCTGTTTGTATATACTATTTATTATTTTTTGTCATTTATTTGTGTCCTGATTAGAAACCTTTGCTTATTCCCTTTCTTACCACTTCCTCCTTTATTTGACTTTCTTTTGCCCCCTAAAAAAGGCAAGTTGAAGTTTGTATGTGATGCTATAAATACTTTTTCTGTTAAATCTAAAGAAACGTGTTTTTTCAATTTTTATTTATTCTGAAATAACTTTTTGGCCTTTTTATTTTTGGAAAAAAATTCCCTATGGCTAACAAGAAGACGGGTAGTGATTACATGAAAAATCTTTAGGCTGAAATGAAAGAATTGTAGCTACTTCCCTCTCATAAAATAATAAACTCCATTATACATATTCATTTTAATTTTTAATTTTTATTTATTAAAATTGTTATTTGGTAATAGGGTGATAGTGTTAGAGTGGAGGAGAAAGAATATGACAAATGAAGGTCCAAGTTAAACGATGATTAGGAAGGAAATGTTGAGGTCTGTTGAATTAAAAATTAATTAGTCTCTTAAAAATTAATTAGAGTCTCTTAATTTATGAATAGATAATTATATTTTGATATTTTGATTTATATAAAGTTTATTAATAGCGAGAAATGCTTATTTACTAGATAAGGTGATTGATATGTAAAATAATTGTTGGGGCCAAAAATTTAGGATGTGGAAAAAATATTTCGTATCTTTTCATTCAACATTTTGAATTACTAGTCTGTAATCATGATAAGTAGTTTATTTTCATGATTTTAATTTTCGCAAATGATTGCTTGAGAATAAAAGAAGTGCAAAATTAGATTTCAGAATCTTTTGTTTAAATTGGTTCTATATGACTTTGTACTCTTATCCTTTTTTATTGTCCCTAATGATAGATAATATAATTAGAGTTTGAGGTGATTGTTAGGCGTAGAACTGGATAGGCGTAGAACTGGACATATTATTATTATTTGACTGAAAGAGTTGATAATATTTTGTCAATTTAACTAGTTAAAATGATTGCAGTTGTCAAAGGATTGCATTTGGTGGTGGAAGTTAGCATTGAGGTTTTCAATCTAGAGTGTTATTCGACAATATATTATTAGAAAATTCTATTTTGATTAAGAAGACATTTTTATAATGAAACAAATTGTTGGATTCGAACTTGTATATGTAGATCTAGAAATGTGGCAATTCATGTTTTTATTTAATACTAGTATTTGTATTCTAGAGCTGTTTGGTGAGATAATGTTCTCACCTATTTATAATACTATTAGACATGATTTAAATGAATGGATTAACTCACTTTTTCTCTCAAAAAGAAAGAAAAATATGTAAGTTTGTATGTTTTTATTGATGCTGAAGATTGTGACAGATCTCGATGGCTTTCCAAGTTTTTACTAATTATTAAAGTACTAAAAACATTATGACCGCTTTTTGTTTAGTTACAACTAAAACTATACTGCTATTAAACCAACAATGCACTCATAATGGATTTGCTTTCTCTCTCTCTTTTTTTTTTTTTGTTATCATTATATACACATAATATTGGTTAAATCCAAATCACGATAAATTAGGGCTAATTTCATAGATGAAATTTCTTTTTATAGCAAATTTTAATTGTTTTGATACTCAAATTTTCTCCTATACCTCTATTCATTATTTATCAAAAAAATTTATTACTATATATTCAATTAAAATTCTTGGGGCCTTAGCTGTGCTTTGCACAGCCGAGGTACTTCTAGTATTATATGGTGGGTGATAGCTCCACCATGTAGATTGTCGTCGCTTCATGCTAAATTATTGACGTATGTGACGTGACTATTCTGCAAAACCGGTGGGAAAAGATACTTGATGATTATTGACACCAGATATTGTAGATTTAATCAATTTCTTGAGTATGGCTTTCAATGATATAAAATCATTGGGAACTATTGAGTTTGTGCTGAGTGTCACTCAAATGAGTTTTGCTTTCTCTTAACTTTTGAATACAAAAGTTTTTTCAAATATTATTTTATGCGTATCACAAAGTGTGTTTTTTAATTTAAATTTTTTTTTATATTTTCAACTATTTTGTTTTAATTTTGAGCACAACATTTTTACGAATGGTTTTATACTAGGGGATGGGAATGGATTCAACTAAACTATTGAGAATTCAAAAGGAAATAAACCACCTCAAAAAATGTTCCAAAAAATCATGGATGGGAAATATTGGCAAGGGGTTATTCTGAATTAATTCTTTATTTTACATACATCATATCATAAAAAGTATTACGGAAGTTATTTCAAATAATACTTTAATTGTAATTTTTGTTACATTAATCTCAAAACACCATGTTTTGCTTTGTAATTGAGGAAGATCTTCGAGGTTCCAAACATTTCTGCCTTTTAAAAAAAAAAAAAAAAAAAACCATAAAGCAAGATAAGTCACAAGCTTAAGTTGTAAATGACCTGGCTTTTTAAATCTTATCCAATATCCTCTCAATTTTTTTTTTTTACCATTTTTAGATGTATGGTTTCTGATCTTCCTTTACAATCAAAATAAGATTTTTTGTTGAACTTGAACTTCAATCAAAATCGGGTCAAAGAAAAAAGGTTATGCTACCCAAAATATACTGTAAAAGATTTGGGGCATCAGTGGAGCAAGATTTAAACCGGAAAGCCTTTGCTCAAAATACCTCCACAACTGAATTAGTGGCTACAGGCAATTAGCAGACAAGAATCTCTTTAAAAAGCCAGCCCCTAACTTTCCAACTTTCCCCTTATCTACAACAGTTCCCTAACTAAGTTTAAAAAATTAAAAGTTATCAAGCTCACTTAATTTTTTTTTTTTTGGACAGGTTAGTGCTACTACAATCACTTGTTCATTTCATCCGCTCACAGTATTAGGGAAGTGAAAATTGAGATTACAAGTTTAAACATTTTTTTAGTTCTCTCCCTGACAGCCAGCCAACTAACAGTTGTACTAATCTTTGTGGGTTTTCTCTAACAAATGCGCTAATTTTGGTCGATTTTTTTTTTAATAGATGCTTAATGGATACTTGTCGATAAACATAATATACATAAAACGTCTAATTTATTATTTCAATTCACGCTTTCATATTTATTGCCTTGTTTATACGCACTCGATTTAACTTTACTTTTAAAAATAATTGCGCTTTAAATCTATATATGATCATTCCTTGAGCAGAATTCAACAAGAAGGGTGCATAAGAATAGGATAAGAATGTGATGGAGGCTGCTACGTACCCGGTGGCGACGTAGCTTAATTATATTAAGTTTTACAGCAGAATTTTACATACTATGCCAATTTCCCAGCAAGTTTTGTGACCACATCTAAATTGCCCAAAATGCATTCGCAGAAGGCTACTGATCAAGACAAAGTTATTCCTAATATGTTCACAATCAATTTGTTTATTTGAACATTGGCAAATATTGAAGCTCAACTGCCTAGCTAGTGGGAAAATATTAATAGCTCCAGAATCATTATTTATAATTTCAATTAACCAGATTTAAGTTGTCCTATTGTTGCTAACCAAAAAAAAAAAAAAGTCTATTTCCCCTGAAACTGGTTTCAGTAAATAATATCTTTTCTATATTCAACCAAAGATTTGATTAAATATCTTTAAGTTATCCTGGGGTTGAACCTAGCCTATTATCCCAATGCAAGGATGCCAATGTTGAGGAAACCAATGGGGAGATATTTGGGGAGTTTGTTAAAGTTTTATCAAAATTGGAACCATTAACAAGTCTGGCCACAACTTCTTCAATGATCTAAATCAAGTTCTCAAACTATATACCAAAAGGTCCTATTAAATCCTCAGAATTTTTTAGATAGATCCCTTTTTTCTTCTTCTTTATATATCATGAGGAAAGTTGGACACTTGGATGTATCAATTTGGTTGAAGTGGTAATCACAATCGATTGCAAAGGTTGATTACTACTTTTGATGCTTTTTGTTAATACGACATCATTATTTATCTTCTATTTCTATTGATAAAGTGCTCGGGAATGGTAGGTAGATAATTTATGCAAACCATTCTAGCAGTGTAGACTATGCCGTTGTATTATACTAGATCACTGACTAAAGTCCTTAATCCGCAGAATGATTGTTTTCTTGCACAATATACTAATGTTTGTGCAAAATAGACTAAATTAGGGAAATCATATTTGTATCACACTTAAAATAACAAAATAGACTAAAATACTCCAAAAAACAGATAATCCAAACGGAGTCGATTGTTACTTGCCGAACAAAAAGTGGAGGAACTATTTACGTCCCACGTCTATCCTTGGCTATTACTTGCCTAATAAAAAATGAAGGATCCTTAAATACAGTACATTCATGCTGCCTTGATAAAGTAGTTATATATTTAGATAAATTATTGGATCCTTAAACATAGTACATTCATATTGCCTTGATAATTAGTAGCATAGTTATGTAAAATACCAGCTCCAAAATTACTTTCGCGATAAAAAGCTTTGATAAAGTAGTTGCATAGTTAGATAAAGTATCGGTTCCAAAATTACTTTCTTGATAAAAATGGGAAGAACAAAAGGGTGTTTTAATCAAGGATCTTTTCATTGT